CCCCCACTCATGCTCTCATCCCCCTGTTGTCCATGTCCATTGGTTTGGCTTATATGCATGCATACAAGTCCTTTGGTTGATCTCTACCCCTTACCCCCTCCCTCGCCTACTTTCCCTCTGGGGATTGATAGTCTGATCGCTGTTTCTCTGTCTTTGGATCAGTCCCTTTACTTTGAGTCTGTGTCTTTTATTCTGAGATGGGTCTTGTTTTCTTACTGTTTCTGTCTCGTTTTCAGCTACCCCATATCTTTTCATTGGAGCTTTTAAGTAGTTTACATTTAAAGTGATCATTGATAGGTATGTATTTGTTGGCATTTTATTCTTTATAACTATGTTTCCCTGTTTTTATCTCCTCCTCCTCATCCTCCTCCTCCTCCTCCTCCTCCTCCTTCTTCTTCTTCTTCTTCTTCTTCTTCTTCTTCTTCTTCTCCTCCTCCTACTCCTCCTCCTCCTCCTCCTCCTCCTCCTCCTTCTTCTTCTTCCACTCTAACATTTCCTGTAGGACTGGCTTGGTAGTAATAGACTCCTTTAGCTTTCTTTTTTGTTTGGAAAGTTTTAATTTCTCCTTCAATTTGAAGTAATAGCCTTGTGGACAGAATAGTGCTGTCTGTAGGTCCTTGCTTTTCATGCCCTTGAATATTTTATGCTAATCCTTTATGATTTGAAATGTTTCTGTTCAGAAATCAGCTGACTGTCTTATTGGAGATCCTTGTCAGTAACTAACTTTGGTTGTTTCTCATAGATTTTGGTTTGTTTGTGTTCATTTTCATTTGTTTCTGGGAAGTTTTTGATTTCTTTTTTAGCTCATTGGTAATCCATTCATTGTTTAATAACATGCTATTAAGCGCTATATTTTTCATATTTTTGAGTATTTTTTAATTGTGATTGATTTCTAGTTTTATGCCATTTTGATTTGAGAAGATGCTTGATATAATTTCAATATTTTTAAATTTCTTTATATTTAATTGTTTAAAGTATTACATATGTCTCCTTTTCCTCTGATTGACCCCCCCTTAAATTTATTGATACTTATTTTGTATCATAACCTATGATCTATCTTTGAGAATGTTCTATATGCATTTGAAAAGAATGTATATTTTGCATCTTTGGGATGAAATGCTTTGTAAATATTTATTAAATCCATCTGATCTGGTGTTCTTTATCACCATTTTCTTGTTAATTTTCTGTCTGAAAGATCTATCCAGTGATGTCAGTAGGATATTGAAGTCCCCTACTATGTCTGTGTTGCTGTCAATCTCTCCCTTCAGGTCCTTTTAGAGTTTTGTTTTGTTTTAAGTATATTTAATTGTTGCTATACTGGGTGCATATATGTTTACAGGGGTTATATTTTCTTGTTGGATAAATCCCTTTAGTATTATGTAGTGACCTTCTCAGTCTGTTATTATGGTCTTTGTTTTGAAGTCTTTATTGTCAGATATGAGTATTGTTAACCCAGCATTTTGTTTGTTTGTTTCCATTTGCGTGGAATATTTTTTTTCCATCCCTTCACTTTTAGTCTGTGTACATCTTTTGTTCTGAGTTGGGTTTCTTGTAGACGGCATATATGTGGACCATGCTTTCTTATCAATTCAGCTACCCTATGTCTTTTGATTGGAGCACTTAGTCCATTTACATTTACAGTTATTATCAATAAGTACTTATGTATTGCCATTTACTTTCTTTATACCTATGTTCCTCTCTCCCTCTTAATTTCTTTATTTTTTCTTTTTTTTATTGCTTAAAGTACTACAGAGGGTATTGCATATGTGTCCATTTTTTCCCCACGCCCTAGACAGTCCCCTAGCCTCCCTTATCCCCCAGTGTCTTATGTCCATTGGTTATGCTTATATGCATGCATACAAGTCCTTTGGTTGATCTCTTACCCCCCTACCTCATGCCCCCCAACCCTCCCTGGCCTTCCCGCTGCAGTTTGACAATCTGTTTGAGGCAGCTCTGCCTCTG